ACCTTGAGCGTGCGCCTGCTGGGCTCGTTGAAAAGGCATGTCCAATCTACAGCCTTGGTTGCAGCCCGGTCTTCCTCCGTCATCAGATGATGAAGATAGCTTGCAACCCCGACCGGGGGCCCCAGAGCCCGGACGTCTTTGGGGATAGCAAAAGTTACTATCCTGTTACAGTCCGGGTCCAGGCTCGGAGCTGGAAACCTATCGACAAGCTTGTTGACGGCCGAAGTCCCACTTGATTCGGCCTGAGGGTCTTTCCGGGGGGTTTCGAGCCCGAAAGTGTTGGCGGAGGGTACCCCATCAAAAAAGGTCTCGAAGCTACCTCCCATCATCGGGATGTCGTCCGGCAGCTGCCCCCAAGTCGAGGAAGATGGGGGGGACGTAACCGGGTGATCGGTACCCGGGGATGCCCGCGCGGGGGCCGAGGGTTCACTAGCATCCTCAACCCTCACGTCCTCGAGAGGAGCCTCAACTGGATGGACCACCAGCTCAGGGTCCGGTCGAATGGACCGGTGGCGGACGAGCTCCGGCTGCTCCTCATCGTCATCCTCTTTGTCATCCTCTTCCTCGGAGGACAAGACGATTTGGCTTTTTGGTTTGCGGGCGGCCCTTTTTGTCCGCTTAGTCTTCCTTTGAGGCTCGTCCGTACCGGACTCCCCGGGCCTTTTATTTTCTCCCGGAACCGGAAGGGGGCATAGTATTGAGGACCTCATCTCCGCGTCCTTGGGCAAGCCTGCAAAACACGAGGGTTATGATGCATTCCCGATATACAGGAAGAAATGCGCTACCGGTCGAAAAGAAGGCTTACCATGGTTTTTCGCCTCCCACCGACCTTTGGAGATTTCCTTCCAGTTTCGCTCCGAATATGGCCGCTGGGCCACTATCTTGTTTACCCAGCCGGCCAGATCCTTGACGGCAGCTGGGGTTTGGGTCACCGCTGCACAAGAAAGGGGGGTTTTCAGGAAGAAGTCGAAGAAAACACGCTCCAAAAGATGAACAGTGAGAAAATACTTACGTTTGAGGTTCCACCTCTCCGGAAATGGCATGCAATCGGCCGGAATCAGGTCGGACGTCCTGATCCGGACAAACCTGCTCATCCAGCCTCGATCTTTGTCTTCATCGATGCTGGAGAATGGGGGTTTGCTAGCCCGGCGGGCCACTTTTATTAATCCCCCCCGAAATATTCGGGGGCTGTATAGTCGAAGAAGATGGTCGAGGGTAAAGGGGAAATCGCCCTCGACTCTCTCAACAAAAAACCGAAAGAGATATACGATCCGCCACATCGAGGGGTGGATCTGACCTAAGGTCACCTCATACCGCCGGCAGAACTCCACTATGATGGGTTCTAAGGGGCCTAAGGTGAAGGGATATGTATATACACTAAGATATCCCTCAACGTGAGTCATAATCGACTCGTCACGGGAAGGGGCGACCAGGTCTTTCCCTTCCCATCTACATTCAGCCCTCACCCGGTCTAGGCAACCGGGAGTGATTAGACTAATATACTCCGATGCCGGTTCGCCGCGGCCCGGGACCGATGATGGGTTTTCAACCTGGAAGTCGGCAGATACCGAGCAACCAGTCGGTGTGAATGCTTTCAATGGGGGTTCTGGTGCATGTTCATCAGATCTAGCGGGGCTCGCGGCCGAGCTTGGTCTAGAAGGAACACTTTGTGAAGTTTTCGCCATTTCTTAAAGCTTTACGAAGAGATGAAAAGAAAATACAACCAACGCAGAATTTGAGAAAGATAGGAAATGTTGAACCTGGAAGGGTCGTTTATACTTTTTCCATGAGGCGGTGGCACGAATCGCGAAGCCACAGACACGAAGCGACAGATAATTAAGAGAAGCATTAAATGCCTGCAGCAGGCGTGGTCAGAGCACTCGATGGCTTTTTCACCTGGCGTATGGCCATACGTCACGGGCATCACGTCACCGGTCATATCGTTTATTATCATTACTCTCTAATAAACGAGGGGACTATCTGTATTGGGTGATACCCTTTTTTGCTTGAGCCCGACCGGGTTGGGTCCGGTCCGGAGCAAGTCGGGGCCATCGAACCCGACCTGGATGCAAGGTAGAACGACGGCCACGTCTACAACCGAGGTCGAGTCATTTCGAGACCGTTACAGAGCTCGATAGGAGTCACCACCGGATGGAGAAACACACAAGGTCGGAAGCCGGACTCGTAACGGATAACCAAGCGTCGCCGGATATCTCGCCCAAACGTGATTTTCTCAACCACTTCAGGCCATTAAGGCGTAATTACAGGGATCCACGATGTAATCAATTTACCTACCTTATTTTTACCCTTAATCAGAATGTATAAAAGGGGATCTCTCTAAATTCTTGTGGATCATCAAGCACAATTGTTCTAAGCAATATTATATTCTGCGATTATTTACTTTAACAGCAATTGTTGAGTCTTTATCTTTATTTTCCTCAACCTAAAAACCTTTTGTATCTTTTAGTTCACGGATCCTTAAAACCCTATATAAATTCAATTGTTATCCGGATTCGAGGGTAAACAGTAATTTTTATATGTCTTTTCGATATTAGATATTGTTAATTATTTTGATACATAGTAATCTTTACGTAATTTTCAAATGTATAAATTTATTCCAAAAAGAAAAATACTTAAGACTTTATTTTTACATTTAATTAAAATTAAAAAGTTTGACACTCAAAATATGACTACATAAATTAGACGCTAACTTTAAGAAAGTGAACATTAGTGTGCTCTAACAACCTTAAGGTATGACTATAATACAAGACAACTAAAGGGAAAAAAAGAAAAAAAAATCATCTCTTTTTTAATTTTGAACAACAACACAACCCAGTAAAATTTCACTAGTGAGGTTTGGGGAGGGTAGAGTGTACGCATATCTTACCCCTTCCGGAAGGATAGAGATGCTATTTTCGGAGATACTCGACTCAACAGACAAGGCAATAATATTAGAAGAGAACAAAAAATAGATCTGTAACAACAAAAGAAACCAGAAAAATAATATCAACCCCTTTTTAAATTTTCCCTTCCCTAATTTCTGAACAAAATAGAACCAAAAAAAAAAAAAGAAAAAAGAAAAAAAAAAAAGAGAAACACCATCTTAATTTTCCCTTCCCTAATTTCTGAACAAAATAGAATTGAAAAAAAAAGAAAAAAGAAAAAGAAACACCATCCCTTTAATTATCCTTCATTTCCCTTTCCCTCCATTCCAAACAGAGAATTAATTAAATCAGTGGGCAACTACTGTAAGAACACAACATTACATGCACCGCGTCTCCTCTTTCTCTCTTCCATTTCTGTTTAATTTTCTAATCATCGTTTTCACCCTTAATTTAAAAAATAGCCAGTCTCAGATAGTAGTAAAATTCCAGTATTTGAGAAGTAACCAGAATGGGAAAATTCGACTGGAGATACGTCAAGTTGTTCGTGCTTGTACTTGTTGGGAGTGTAAATGGCGGAATTGAAGGAGTGATCAAAGTGAATTATAAATTTTCCGGGTCGGAGAGGAATTTACGTGCCCTAAAAGCTCATGACGAAATGCGCCACCTCAGAATCCTCGCCGGTATCGACCTTCCTATCGGCGGCATTGGCCGTCCTGATTCCGTCGGGTCTGCTTTTCCTTTTTACTCCGCTCTATTATTAAATTGGGTATATGGGTGTAATTCTGACTATATATGCATATGTATATAGAGTTAAGTTATACACACTGTCGGTGTAAGTAACTCTTACTATCATATCACCTTTACCTGTTATAGCAGTTAACCTGCCTTATTTTCAAAATTATAAATCCCAAACTTTAAGGAGGCTTCAGTGATGGTGTATATAACTTAATCTCACTTATAAATTTAAATAAAGCAATTGAAGCACGAGTATAAATATATGTATTTTGTGTACATGCTGTTGTACATTGTGCTGTAGTTGTTGTACTTGTATTTTGCATTGTTTAACAGGATGCTTTCCGTATTGTTGGAACTGCTAAAACATATAGTAGAGCAGTTGAGTGATTTGATATCTGTGTCTCATCTTATCACTATAAGCAGCTATTTACAGATAGGGGCAGATGTAGCTTACAAGTTAAAAACCCCCCACTAAATTAGTTCAAATGATAGATTTAGAACCGAGTAAATCAAATGAGCTGTGGTAGAATTTTGAACTTGAATCGATAAATTTCAAATCCTGAATCCACCTATGTTTACATATCATCCGTTTTCTTATATGCGTATGTGTGTGTGTGTGTGTGTATATATATATATATATATATATATGTGTGTGTGTGTGTGTGTGTGTGTGTTGTGTGTGTGTGTGTGTGTGTGTGTGTGTGTATGCATATATGTGGGTTGCGCATGTGTCGAGACAAGGTGGGAACATTATGATGCACATGTGGCGAAACAAGGCGGGCACTTATTATGTTATTATTTGCACACGTGGCGAGACAAGGTAGGCTATGTCAGAGGTTGATTGTGATGATTTGTGATGGCCTGGGGGCATTCTTGCTGTTTGATATTGTGTTGTGGTATGCTTACCTGTATAAGTTTTATCTCGTGGATGTTGTGAGAAAACATCTTATGTGTCGTCCGTTCTTTTCCTTATGCTTATTAGCTGGTAGGAACTATGTTAAAGCACTTGCACAAGCATACACGTAGTTGAACACTCCCATTGGATATGAAGTTCTCCTGATATTGCTGAGTATAGATGTACACCCTCGTCTACTTGTCATATATGTGAGAGTAGCTCTAGTTAGTAAGTGAGTTATCAGCGTGACCATGAGTTGTGATGGGGGCACAGGATGCCAAGTGTTAGGGTTCAGGTATTGGGACCCGTGAGCTGTAAGTTGTCCGAGGTTCAGTATTTCATGGAGTCTGTTGGCTAAGACTTGATGTGAACACTGTTGTAGGTTCTGAGTTATTGCTTATCTTTACTGTATTTGTGATTTAGGTTTTGGGTTTGTGATTTCGCTCGCTATTCTATGTCATTATTATGGTATTTCTGCTATCACTTGTTGTTTTTCTTCCCTTACTATGATTGTTGTATTGTTAGCCATAGTGTGTAGTCTTTATATGTATACATCATGTTCCGTTGTTCCTATGCTTATTTTTGTACAGTTTATTAGACCGATAGGTGTCTTGACTGTTCCTCGTCACTACTCCATCGAGGTTAGTCTTGATACTTACTGGGCACAGCTGTGGTGTGCTCATGCTACTCTTCTGCACATTTTTGTTGTGCAGATCCAGGTGTTGATCGTTAGTAGCTGTGTGGACCATTGCTGAGGAGACTCAAGGTAAACCTGCTACTGCGTTCGCAGGCTTCGGAGTCACCTTCTTGCTTGTATTCAACTGTTTTCACTCCTTTCCAAACACTTTATATAGAAGTGGTAGCTAACTCTGTAGAGCTTATGACTTGTACTACCGGGTTTTGGGAATATGCTCATTGTATAAAGGATTCATTCCAGAAAAATTTTAAGATGTTATTTATTATTNAATTTCAAATCCTGAATCCACCTATGTTTACATATCATCCGTTTTCTTATATGCGTATGTGTGTGTGTGTGTGTGTATATATATATATATATATATATATATATATATATATATATATATATATATGTGTGTGTGTGTGTGTGTGTGTGTGTGTGTGTGTGTGTGTGTGTCGGTAGGTCTGCTTATTCTATTTGTGCATCATCCATGATAGAATAGTGTTTATCAATGTTTTGTTGTAGTAAAAGAGTTTGCATGAATTATCAATTGGCTATGTTCTCAATGTCAGCTTTTGGCAAAGCCTATCATGTGCTGACTTAATAATTTCCAGAAGATGCTTAGATCTCGGCTAATTAGAGAATATTCTAAATTCCATGTTTGAATGATTATTTTAAGCTCATAACATTGTCAGTTAGTTTGTTTCATTATTTGGATAAACTGATGAAATCTTTCTTCACGCAACTTTATGTGGCTTACAAACAATCAATTTTATATATGTTAAAATGACAGTTTGTTACCGTATGGAGTTAGTTTGTGCTACTATTGAAATCATTTCCTCGATCTTTTGTTATTATAGGCTTTATTATGCTAAGATTGGGATTGGAACACCTCCAAATAATTATTATGTCCAAGTAGATACAGGAAGTGACATTATGTGGGTTAACTGCATTACGTGTCAAGAATGCCCCAGAAGAGGCTATCATGGTGTACGTTTCTTTTAAATACACAATGACAATGTGTATATGTATGTTTATGCTTTTTTTTTGTCTATATATTTATTCTCAGTATATGATTTGCTCTTAAAAGTAAAACAATTCTTCGCTGATGCTCTATTCTGTCCTTTTTTATCTGAATTTCTTTTGGGCAGCTGGAGCTAACACTCTACAATCCAAGGGATTCTCTCACTGGTAAACTCATTGTTTGTGGTAACTCATTTTGCAAAGACATCGACAGAGGTTCAGGATCAGGCTGCTCTGGTAATACTTCTTGTACTTATAGTCAAGTTTATGGAGATGGAAGCTATAGTAGGGGCTACTTTGTGGAGGATGTTGTCCAATATGATCAGGTGTCAGGTGATCTCCAAACTAAATCATCAAATGGGAGTGTTATTTTTGGGTAAGATGTATGTTATCTACCATGCGAGCGAAAGAATATTTCTGTAGCTCTTATAATCCTCAATCCAGCGTTTGACTTGTTAAACATTTAATTGAACTAGGTGATCTTACATGATTCTCATGCTCGATAAAATCCTTGAGAGTGCACTTATTCCATTATTACAGCACTTGCAAATTTATGACCTTGCTGTTTATTAATTTATCAAAATCCAATGAAAACCATTTCATCTGGAATTGGTTTTGCTTCCTCCTTTTGTCTATCTGATGAAGCAGAAGTTTCCAAGAGCATTTTCATTATTTCAGAAATCTAATACTATTAATTATTTGGGGTCTGAGATGGTAGGTAGTTATGTAGGAGGAGCAGAAGTAAAAGGGAGTAAAAGTCAATTTCCCTTGTTCGGTCTGCTAGAAAGGTACGAAGGCAACGTAAAGTTGGATCCTGACCACATTTTCTTATAATATCATCTGACTTCATTACCTGCAATCCCTCTATAATTGGAAGGGAAGAATTAATGGATTAGGTAAACTGTATTGCCTATCTTCTAGTTTTACTGATAAACAAGGTGAAGAGGATTGTTTTCATCATTCTATATATGTGTATGGCAAGGGATTAATACTTCACTGGGAAAGTAAATCAACTAGTCCATTTCTTTTTTAAACTAACATAAGGATAAAGGATATCTAGAATGGTCACAGCTTCTGTTAGCTGCCTTTCCTCCATTGCCAGGTTTCAAGACCCAGACTCTTAGATATTTTGGGTTTTTTCTCATTGCAATAAAATTTTCTACTTTTCTTCAATCTTTGAATCTTGTAGCCTTTCGCCAAAAATCCTTTATTTTAAATCTAAAGGCCCCAAACAAATAAAAGCTTCCATTTGGGCTCTTGTTCATGTTCAATGATTTGCGACAGCCACTGAGCCAACAACATTTGTTTGTTTCTCATTTGGTTCCAATAATTATGCGTTAGTTGAACCAAGCTCTAGTGACACCAACAACAACAACAACAACAACCCCCAGTATAATCCCACTAGTGGGGTCTGAGAAGGGTAGTGTGTACCTTACCCCTACCCTGGGGTAGAGAGGCTGTTTCCAATAGACCCTCGGCATCCTTCCCTCCAAGAACTCCCCACCTTGCTCTTGGGGTGACTCGAACTTACAACCTCTTGGTTGGAAGTGGAGGGTGCTTACCACTAGAGCAACCCACTCTTGTCTTTTATTCCCTTTGTTGTTATTCTTTCTCTTTTCTTTCTTGGATAAGTTTATTGATGTTTTCCCTTGTATTCTCGGAGGTGTGGTGCTTCACAATCTGGGGATCTGAGTTCCTCTGATGAAGCTCTTGATGGGGTTCTTGGATTTGGGAAATCCAATTCATCCATGCTTTCCCAGCTGGCTTCATCTGGAAGAGTGACGGAAAAGTTTGCACACTGCTTAGATAGTGTGAACGGTGGTGGTATTTTTGCCATTGGGGATGTTGTGCAACCAAAAGTAAACATGACTCCTTTGGTACCTAATCAGTATGTAAATTTTCCACTAGAATATGAAGCTTTTGATTAGCTTGTGGTTGAGAAAATTGTAATGATTTAAATGCTTTAAATTGTTTTTATTCTTAGGCCACATTACAATGTCAATATGATGGCAGTTGAAGTTGGTTATCAGTTTCTAAACCTGTCTGTTGATGTACTTATGAATGGAGAGAACAATGGAGTAATAATTGATAGCGGAACAACATTGGCTTATCTTCCTGAGGTGATTTATGGTCCACTAGTGAAAAAGGTAGTTTGCTACTATAGTTCGTTTAGTCTTTTTGGTAGCCACTTAATTGAATCAGAAATAGATATAAATGTTTGTACCTAAAATAATTGAAATGTTTGTATTTCTTCACTTCTGCCAGATATTCTCCTGGCAACCTGATCTTAAATTGCGTACAATTCATGATGAGTATACATGCTTTGAATACTCTGGAAGGTATGGAGCATACTGAGCACTCATCTCTTTACGCAGTCTGTAAGTGCATGACGTTACTTTGTCTTTCTAACTTGTGGTTTCTTCTTTATTTCATCATGTTACTCTTTCAATTTCTCAATCAACATCCTTATGAAGGATAACTTAGCTGCTGCTCTGTGCTTCAAGCGTGTTTATTCTGGAGCAGTGGCAATTGGATTCTAGAGTGCCGTCATGCTATCAGTTATACTCTACTTCTCAAGATGTTGTTCACAAGAGGTGGAATACGATGGCTAATTCTATCTCAAGATGAACTGAAAATTGATAAATGCATTGAGTCAAATTCTTGTATCAAACTAGTGGAAATAAAATGAGGTTGAGCAATTTGCGCTGATCCATGTGACGCCTAGCATAATGTGCATGATAGTTCAAGATTAGCAATGTAATATATGTCAAAAGAATCAGAAGTCCTTTATTATAATGACTTGGATCCTATAAAAGACTAGCAATCAAGTTACTAGAATAACTGTCAATTTGGCTTGCAATAAAGTTATTTCAATGGTGGTGTTTGGTATGATGATGATCACTATGCGGGATAAAGATCTTCGAGCATGTAAAGCAGTTTTGCTCTCTGTTTATTCTGTCTTTTGCCAGTTGTAATGATCATGGTTTTAGCAACACATATTTCACTGATTTTGCATCCATGCCTTGGTTTTGAACCTAGCCCAACATAGTCTTTTGCTTGGGAAGTTTTCTTATAAAACCAAACTTTTTGAACGTTGTTTTTATTACATAATACCACTACTAGTCAGATTTAGTTAACTGATTAGTTTGGCAACTATATGAAGTAAAACAGCTATGGAAATTTACTTTCTGATATATTGGCCCACTTGAATATAACTTATGGTGGGGGTATTTAACTAGTTGCCTTAAAAAATTTGCTAGTAAACTTGTCAAAAGAAAAAACAGAATGGGAAAGATTATCTTATGGAAACAGCGTCTCTACCTGCATTAGGTAGGGGTAAGGTCTGCGTGCAGACTACCCTCCCCAGACCCCACATATTGGGATCAAACTGGGTTTGTTGTTGTTGTTGTTGGGAAAGATTATCTTATACGGGGGACTTGTTTCCGGTGGAGGTCCACGTGGAGGAATGAACTTTTTAAGCGTCAGAATTCCTTGCCTCTTTTATTCCCTTTTATGGAAAATATTTTTCTTGAGATGTTTCTCTTATGATTCTTGTATTTACAACTATTTTCAGTTCTCCAGGTAAAAAGATGTCCAAATGCAATAACTTTTGCCTCTAACTATTGCAGTGTTGATGATGGATTCCCTCAAGTCACTTTTCATTTTGAAAATTCTCTTTCTTTAAGAGTTAGACCCCACGAATATCTATTCCCATATGTAAGTATGTTTTTTCACGAGTTAGTTTTAACTCAATGAAAAAGTTCAGTGTTTTTTTTGCTTAGCCTTGAGGTTTTGAGCTTTTGGTCTTATGTAAAATGAATTTGTCAAATTATCACATATGGTTAGTAGTGTAGAACCATTGACCACTCTTACAAATTGCTTGAACTTGGAGGGTGAAATGTGAATTGTTCCATAATTGTGTAATTTTCGAATAGTGGATGAGTTCTGCTTACTTCTGCTGTGAATTAGGGGCAACTTCCCTTTTGTCATTAGAACTATTTCTGCTACATGATCTGTCAGATATCTGAGTGGATTTGTTTGTTATCAGACCTCCTTTTCCCTTCTTAGGGTTGTAAATAAGAGCAAATAATACCTCAGAACTTTATATTTATATGAATTTGTCACAGCGTAAGCTGTCAATTGACTTTCTCTGAGAAAATATTCTATCTCCATCGTCATGTTTGTTTAAGTAAATGATGAATATTAAAGGGAATAGTTTATACGTCACTTGATTCTTGCAGAATATCACATTTGCCAGTAGATCTGATTTCTGTATGCTCTTTTAGGAAGATTTATTTTGCATTGGATGGCAAAATAGTGGTACTCAATCAAGGGATAAATGGAACCTCACGCTTTTCGGAGGTATGTTTATCTGTTTCTTATTTTTGTAATTGCAAATGTCAAGACTACCATGCTATGTTTGGAGGAGTATGTTTTTTGATTTTGAGTGCATACATATCAAAATTAATGTATTTAGAGAAAATAGAGATCAGAAATCGCATTTGGACAGGAAAATGGTTTGTGAAGTGAATTTGAATTCTGCAGAAAAGTACTGGTTCTAATACAGGCACTAATTTGAGCTACATTACAGGGAATTATAACAAAATATTCACAGCCACTAAAACTGAGAAATTTCCAGCTCCAGTATACATTTGACATGGCAAAATTTCCAGAAAATAGTTTACTGTTTATATCATTTATGATGGAGCTAGAAGCTTCGCATACTTAGTTGAGGTCTAATACGTTATAGTTGCCATCGCCAGATTATGCACCCAAAATGAAACCTCCTAAGACCCAATTGTTACAAAATTTCCAATTGAGGGCATCATATTTGCTGCATCCTGTCACCAGTGAAGACACATAAGAGAGACATATCTGATCTACATGGTTTGGGAAGAGAGACGCTGTTTTCTTTTTCTTTTTTGGGAGCGGGGTTACATCCTTTATTTATTCTGGATTGCGGGAGTTCAGTGCAGACTGGGATGGAGACAAGCAAGTTGAATGTGATGAGGGTGGCAGTCTTTACGAGCTCTAAGGAGTCATTTAAAAATACGTATTAAGGACATAATCCATCAGGATTTAAGTCCGCATTTGAACTCTATTAATTCGTTTTTACAGCTAAACAGGTAACGAGGATTTGGATATGTATTTGAAATCGTCTGAGAAATCCTTCCATCCAAATAGCCCTTGGATTTTCTGTCATAAGGAAGCTCAAGTATGATTTTCCTCTTAAATTGTGTAGTTGAAGAGTAAAGATCATAATCAATTATATGTTTGTCCTTTGCTGACGACTTTTTCCTCCTTTTTTCTTTAATAAAAATGAATCGGACCAACATATGGTTGAATCTATGTGAATTGTGCACCCTTTGCTGTCTGTAATTATTTCTTCTTTAACTCCATTTATGACCCTTTTTATGAACTATCTTCGTCGCACTAATATGATCTATCTAAGAGGCCCAAACCATCTGAAAGCCCACAAAATAATGGGGAACTTATGCGTATGTGCGTAACATTTTAAAAAGGCAAAATGACCTCCTGGCCACTTAAACTTGCACCTGATTGCCAACCCGGTAAAGAAACTTATAACTTTCCCATTTGAACACATCTAACTCATACATTTGTGAACTAATAAACCTCTCAAATGGAGCGTGTATATCAATGCGCTGACATTATAACACGTTTTATTCTAGGATTAGTTATTGCTTGACGTGTATAATTTGTGGGTTCCACTTATTTTAACAAAATTTTAATTTCATGGTTTTCCTTTTCTTCTTCATGGCCTTCTACAGATAAGCCAACCCCACCCCCCACCCCCCACCCCCCAATTTTTTTTTCCAATGCCACCCAAACAAACCACATCAACTCGTCACTCACATCTCTACCGTCAGCACCATCACACCACCACAAATAAGTCAAAATCACTAGAATTTATCTGCGCATAGACCAGAAAAAAGGAAAAAATAAGCAACAAAGATAACTCGATTAGTTGTTCTCTCTCTAAAGCCACAAGCTCACCACTCCCTTCCCACCTATGGACCACCACAAAACTACACCAGAATGCTCCCCCACTTTGAAGCCATCGTTGATTTTCTTCTAAAATTTCAAAATTGATTTTTGTTTTGTTTTTGCCTAATTTGAAAATTGGCATACAAGTTTTGGATTCTTAATTTCCCTCTCAACTATAATCTTGGCTTTCAGTGGAAGAATTGCCTGGGAGAAAATTGAAGGGTGCTTTGTGACAGTAAAATTGTTGGGTTTGATTTGGAAGTAAGAGGAAGAAAATGGATGTATTTGTTGGGGGGTTGGCGTACAATGGTAGAGGAAGGAGGGGGAAAGGGTGTAATGGTAAAGAAAGGGATGGGATGTGGGCCCTTCTTTCTTTCTTTTTCATTTATTATTATTTTTTGATTTTAGAATTTCTTAAATTCAAAATTACTGTACTCACGCGCGCTAATTATGTGAGCTGCACGCACTTTGTCCATGTCACATGTGCTCTTGCCACATAAGCACAGTCAATGGTCAAAGGTGTTTATTAGTTTACATATGTACTAGTTGAGGTGTTTAAATGGGAAAGTTGTAAGTTTCTTTATCGGGTTGGCAATCAAGTGCAAGTTTAAGTGACCAGGAGGCCATTTTGCCTTTTTAAAATGAATTGGTATTTGCTGTAAAATTGTATCATTTCATTTATGGTAGCTGGCTAAGATTATGACTGCAATATCACTTGTTTGTTTCATGGTTTACATGACATTCACAATAATTGAGTGGTGGAAATTCAACGCCAGCATTTTAGAACTAAATTGCGACCTCTTGGAAGAAGTGGCAACTATTTATATCCAAACTACTGCTATTTTGTGAAAGAGGGGACTATATTTAAATAACTATTTGACACGACTATCTTTAAAAAATTAACTGACATTGCTCAGGGGCGTGCTTTCTATTTGAGAAATGTGCATTTAGCACTCACGATAATAAGTGAGAGTGCTCTGCAACCTCGTTTTGTGAGTTAATCCCAAATTCTCTCTCCAGCTCTTCTAAGCCTGTTAGAAACTTAGAATTGGTCAATTGCTGTGATAATAGTGATTAAAGTGCATCTGGATTGTTTCAATTACGTTGTATGTTTCCTTGGTTGGATTCTTTATCTTAAGGAACTTAAAGATTATTCTTTCATTATTGTCTCATTTTCTTCTAAAGCCTTGGAGGTATTCTGATGCTTGCAGATTTGGTACTCTCAAATAAGCTAGTCTTGTATGATCTTGAAAACCAGGCCATTGGTTGGACCGAATATAATTGTAAGTGTAGGTTATATCTGTTCGATACTTGCACTATATTTTGGTACATTAGAATTAGATATTTTTGTTGTTCAATTTGTGTTACCCTTTGTTTTAATTTCAGCTGAATCTAGAGTGGCTCTCCCGACCTAGATAAACGATCTATAATTTCATTGCAATTCTTTATGTACTTGTAAAGAAAGGAAAGAGCAGAAAATTTGGGAATGAACTGCTTGATTCTTTCCCCAAGCATGTTAAATAGTGCTTATATGTAATCCTAAAAAGCAAATAAAAGTAATTCCATTCCTACTTACGCAATCATAAGGATTTGAGACCTTTCCCATACTGAAAAGGAAACATTCCTAATTCTTATAATCTTCCTCAAGTTGGAGTGCACATATTGTATGCTCCTAACTTGCCGCAAATATACTCAATTCTGGAGCCACGCAGTGACTTTGTAAGAGCATTTTCTAACTGGCTATTTGGGTTGACAAAAACCTGTTGTGACGCACCCAAAGTCAATCTTTTGTTTAAAGAAATGTGCAGTGCAACTTGATTATCACATTGCTGCATATCCCCACGTTTACTTTTTGATATGTGCCAAAGTCACTGCTCGTCCTGTGTTTGAGTCATGACATCTTTTATATCTTCTGAAAGGATTGGTTCACTGTTAACTCATCAAAAAATTGTGTTTTGGTTGATTTCAGGCTCATCAAGCATTGAATTAAAAGACGAAATTACTGGATCGGTTCGTTTAGTAGGTGCTCACTCTCTGTCAAGTGGTTCTAGTTTGACAGCTCAAATGGCTCTAACAATATTCTTTTTGTTAGTAGTTCTGCTGCACAACTATCTATTCAACTGGTAAAATCTGGTCAGTATTAGCTTCTGGTACCTGAGACGAGAATTGCTCATTTGACTGTGAAATAACTTTTCAAAGTATTGATACAGCAGCTTGTGGCTTTCAACCGGGCGTGCATATTTTACATTCAGAATGGACTGCAAATTAAAAGCAAAGCTGAAATATAGAACAGATTAACAGATAATTCCATTTTGTATGTAGCTGGCTTATGTTGCAAAAGGAATACTGTAAGTAGAACTCTGGATATATATTCTCTGCGTTCCGCTTGTTATAACACAAGTTTCTTGACGAGCTAAACTGCCTTAATACCTTTTCTGCTTTTAAAATAAAATGGGCAGCCCAGCGTACAAGGGATCCCGCATTCACGCAGGATCCGGGAAAGGACCGTGATGTAGACAGCCTACCTAATGCAAGCATTAGTGGCTGCTTCTACGGCTCGAACCCGTGATCTAAAGGTCAGATAACTTTTCGATGCACAAGTATTAAAATATTTATCTGATATCTGCTAGTAGCAAAACTATATCTGTGATAAGCTTGTGAGATTACCTCATTTTCAGTTTACTGGAAGATTACAAGTAACAGTCATACTAGAAATTCCTTCAAACTTTTTTTTATTTTACAAGTCTCAAAAACTTTTCTATGAAATATTTCGAAGCTGTATGATGAGTTTGGTTTTGGTATCTTGTGCAAGTAGAAAAATACCAATACCTGAGTTTCCATTTAAATTTTTACGTCAAGTTTGTCCTGTGGTAAAATTTGTATTTTCTTCCCGTACAATATCTCAAACCAAACTGGGCGAGTTTTATATGTGGTTGATGTTTTAAAAATCTATTAGTATGCAGTAATATTCAAATCGGAAACTGCCTCTCTATCTTTACATGGTCGGGTTAAGCACTGCAAGCTAACATTTATATCTTTGGTTACTAAATAATCATTAATTCCTGGTTCAGGTGGCCGTGCATAGTATTCTTATGATCCCAAAATGTTAAAAAAAATAATGTTAGTCATGGTGAGTATTGCTCACCTATGAACCTACGAAAATTCAAGCCAATTAGAGTCCGTCAAAAAAATTCTATAAAATCAACATGTGCTAATACATATGAAAAAGTGAATATAACCATAAATTCGTATTATATAACCCCAAAACACCCAAAAAAAAATGAACTCGAAAGTTATGGCGAAGCGATGAGTATTGATCACTACGCCGTTTCATATGGACATACAAAAATTCAAGCCAATCGGAGTCCGTAAAACAAATTAAATTTTTGTGTGCTATAATCCACACCATCTGGATGAATTCAGGCGACGGTCCCAAATTTCCTAAAATTTTGCGGGCCCATAAAAACGACATAATTAACTAAGGCTGTATTCTGGTCCGGGCCTAAATGGGCCTAACGGGCCGGGCTCTGGCGGTCCCGGGCCAAACGGTCCCAAATGATGGAACCGGCCCGTTGTGGGCCTAAGCCCACATGGCCCCGGGCTAAATGGGCCGGGCCCACGGGCCTAAGTGGTCCGGGCTATTTTTTTTCAATTTTTTTTATCTAAGACATTTTCTTGTAAACTATATATATATATATATATATATATATATATATATATATATATATATATAGTATGTTATATATATATATGTAATTTCTTGTAAATATATTATAGCTTATATGTGTTAGATGTGTGTGTGTATATATATATATATATTACGTAGTATATATAGTATGTTATGTATATATATTGCCTTATATAATTTTTTGTAAATATATAGAATTGTAAGTTAAATCTTCTAAAGAGTCAAATTTAAACACAAAGGAATGCCTTATAATTTTTATTATTACGACATTAACAAAAATGGCAATATCTTTTTTAGTCCTCCTCCCCCCAATGGAGATTGATGAATTTGTGAGTAAAAATGAAAGAATGAGGGGGTACTTATAGTTGAGAATAGGGAAAAAGTGTAATTATAAAAAGTTTGGGGTTAAAACAAAGTTTGGGGGCCAAATGGCTATTTTTTTAAAGTTCCAGACGGCTAAAAATTGAAGGCCAACGGCTAGATTTTAAAATCTGACCGTTGGCCATATTTAAAAAAAAATTAAAAAAAGAATAGCTGTTGGGGCCCGTTTGGCCCGGACAGTAATGACTGTGATTATCTAACTGGACCACTCATTGGGTTGAAGAATGAAAAATACAAAAACGTATTATTGCATATAAATAATTAATCACGTCATACAGTAACTTTATGCTAACACAAGTTGCAGATATTTGTAAATATTTTTGCATTAGAGATAAAATAATGTCAATTTCTATGGATAATGCTTCTAGTAACACTAATGCTATAGGCTTACTTACAACTACACTAAATCCTGCATTTAGTAATTGTTTCCATGTTAGATGTATTTGTCATATTTTACCATTTAATCATCGGTGATGGATGAAAATTTTAAATTTGAAAATTGAAAAGGTTAAAATGACTCTTAATTGGCTTTTTTATTCAAACCGTAGAGGTAGACTTAGAAAATATTTTAAAAAATGTGATGAATTTGGCCTTAGAGAAAGAAAGGTTCCTAAAGCTTGTCCGACTAGATGGAATTGTATGTACGAAAGTTTAGTTGTTGCATATGAATATAGAAACCCAATAAATGCAACATTTAGTGCTCGTGTTGGTGGTGAGTGTGATGATGAAATCCTTACAAATCAAATTGGACGAAATGTTTAAAATTCTTATAGATTTTTTACAACAATTTCATATTGCTACAAATGAATTGTCTGGGCAACATTATCCTACTATTTCAAACTGTTTAGTTTATATTGCAGCATTATGTGATTTATTTGTTCAATTTTCAGAGGGTGGGTAATTTATCAACTTGCTATAAATGCAATGAAAGAAAAGTTTAAAAAATATTTTTTCCCTATCCTTCCTATTTATGGTGTTGCTGCCATGTTAAATCCTACCATGAAATTAGGAGTCCTCACTTTTGGTATTCAAGTATTATAGGGCTTTAGATCTTTCAGATGAGGAATTAGCTACACTTGCAGATACAAAAGCCTCAATTAAAATAAATGCTCAAAACAATTTATAATGCTTATCAACAAGCCTTAGATCATGCTAGACACACATGTTTCCAACTCCTACTTCGTCTAGTTCGCAATCATCTAAAAGAAATGCTGGCCTAAAAGCACTTAGTTCTTGGACGGAGTTCAGGGGTTCTCAAGGTGATAATATTGATGATACTTCACATCTAAATGAGCTTCAAGATTATTTGTCGCAGGGCCTTGAAAAGGAGAATCCAGACGGCAGCTTTTGATCTTTTGGAATGGTGGAAGGCCAAGAAAAACACTATCCGGTTCTTTCAAGGATGGCTCGAGATATTTTATGTGTTCAAGCTTCAACAGTGGCATCAGAGAGCGCTTTCAGTCAAGCGAGACTTCAAATAGGTGATCATAGAGCGTCTATGAGGGAGAGCTTGGAAAAATCAGTACTCTTCAGAGATTGGATCCGTTCGGAAAGAAGAAAATTTTTGGGCTTGCTGAATCACAACCGGAGATAGACGAAGCTTATGAAGAATGATAGTGGAACTTGCGGAGGATGCTGCTTCGCCCGGAAGCGGTGATGGAACAAGCTTCTTTTCCGCCACCACCAACGGAAATTCCTCCGAACCTTGAAGGATTTATGAAATTTGTTAGAGATACTATGTAGACTAATATGTAACTTGTATTTTGGCACATCTTCATTAGTTTTTTTTCCTTTTAATGGTAGTATTAGCACCTTGTTGTGCTCATTCCATTGGGGGGAGGAAGACTAAAAAAGATATTGCCATTTTTGTTAATGTCGTAATAATAAAAATTATAAGGCATTCCTGAATATCTCTTTGCAATTTTATTTTTTTGTGTTTAAATTTGACTCTTTAGAAGATTTAACTTACAATTCTATAATATATTTACAAAAAATTATATAAGGCAATATATATACATAACATACTATATATATATATATATATATATATATAATATATATATATATATATAGTTTACAAGAGAAAATGTCTTAGATAAAAAAAATTGAAAAAAAATAGCCCGGACCACTTAGGCCCGTGGGCCCGGCCCATTTAGCCCGGGGCCATGTGGGCTTAGGCCCACAACGGGCCGGTTCCATCATTTGGGAACCGTTTGCCCGGGACCGCCAGAGCCCGGCCCGTTAGCCCATTTAGGCCGGACCAGAATACAGCCTTAGTTAATTATGTCGTTTTTATGGGCCCGCAAAAATTTTAGGAAATTTGGGACCGTCGCCTGAATTCATCCAAGATGGTGTGGATTATAGCACACAAAAATTTAATTTGTTTTACGGACTCCGATTGGCTTGAATTTTTGTATGTCCATATGAAACGGCGTAGTGATCAATACTCATCGCTTCGCCATAACTTTCGAGTTCATTTTTTTTTTGTGTTTTGGGGTTATATAATACGAATTTATGGTTATATTCACTTTTTCATATGTATTAGCACATAGTTGATTTTATAGAATTTTTTTGACGGACTCTAATTTGCTTGAATTTTCGTAGGTTCATAGGTGAGCAATACTCACCATGACTAAATTATTTTTTTTAACATTTTGGGATCATAAGAATACTATGCACGGCCACCTGAACCAGGAATTAATGATTATTTAGTAACCAAAGATATAAATGTTAGCTTGCAGTGCTTAACCCGACCATGTAAAGATAGAGAGCAGTTTCCGATTTGAATATTTACTGCATACTAATAGATTTTTAAAAACATCAACCACATATAAAACTCGCCCAGTTTGGTTTGAGATATTGTACGGGAAGAAAATACAAATTTTACCACAGGACAAACTTGATAAAATTTAAATGGAAACTCATTGTATTTGTATCTACTTGCACAAGATACCAAAACCAAACTCATCATACAGCTTCGAAATATTTCATAGAAAAGTTTTTGAGACTTGTTAAAATAAAAAAAAGTTGAAGGAATTTCTAGTATGACTGTTACTTGTAATCTTCCAGTAAACTGAAAATGAGGTAATCTCACAAGCTTATCACAGATATAGTTTTGCTACTAGCAGATATCAGATAAATATTTTAATACTTGTGCATCGAAAAGTTATCTGACCTTTAGATCACGGGTTCGAGCCGTAGAAGCAGCCACTAATGCTTGCATTAGGTAGGCTGTCTACATCACGGTCCTTTCCCGGATCCTGCGTGAATGCGGGATCCCTTGTACGCTGGGCTGCCCATTTTATTTAAAAGCAGAAAAGGTATTAAGGCAGTTTAGCTCGTCAAGAAACTTGTGTTATAACAAGCGGAACGCAGAGAATATATATCCAGAGTTCTACTTACAGTATTCCTTTTGCAACATAAGCCAGCTACATACAAAATGGAATTATCTGTTAATCTGTTCTATATTTTCAGCTTTGCTTTTAATTTGCAGTCCATTCTGAATGTAAAATATGCACGCCCGGTTGAAAAGCCACAAGCTGCTGTATCAATACTTTGAAAAGTTATTTCACAGTCAAATGAGCAATTCTCGTCTCAGTACCAGAAGCTAATACTGACCAGATTTTACCAGTTGAATAGATAGTTGTGCAGCAAGAACTACTAACAAAAAAGAATATTGTTAGAGCCATTTGAGCTGTCAAACTAGAACCACTTGACAGAGAGTGAGCACCTACTAACGAAACCGATCCAGTAATTTCGTCTTTTAATTCAATGCTTGATGAGCCTGAAAT